GGTGATCCTCCCACAGTCTCGTAGATACTTCTCTTGTTGGTGAGACAAAATATCTGACACCTAAAGTTAAAAGAAAGGTTTTATTTTGGCTCAGTTTGTAGAGCTTTCAATCCTTAGTCGGCTGGCCCCAAGGTTGGACCGTGCAGCAGAGGGGCATGACAGAAGAGAAACAGTCCATGGCAGGCTAGGCAAGAAGGTAGTAAGCAGCAGCTGCCTGCCTTCCATCTTTCCCTTTTAGCCCCTGCAGGCTACAAGTCTCCTGATTGGTGCCAACCCACACCGAGAGTAGGTGGGGCTTCCATTATCCACACCAGAGTTATGCTCTGCCAATTTAGTTATCACACACCCATGATCCAGCCATCTCCAAAAGCCCCATGTATGACCACATGAGCCGTAACTCTGAGTCTCCAGCGGAATCTGTTCCTCTGATCGCATAGGTCTACCTGGATAACTCACGACAATGTCCCCATTTCAAATGCTTTAAGCAAATCGTATATGCGAAGTCCCTTTCACCATCTAAAATAGCACATTCATAAATTCTGGGCCTTAGGACCTGCCTAGAAATTTTAGGGGACCATGAGCCTACCAGAGAGGGAGTAAAAAAGTGGACCTTCTACCACATGCTCCAAAGTAGCAAGTTCTTTGCTGATGCTTTTCCTATTTTCTTGTTTCTTTGGGAATTTTGAGCAACTCTGTATCTTTGATCCCAAGCCCAGAGAAATAATACTAAACTGCAGAATTAACTCTGACTCTGAGATGGGTCATGGGACCCCTTGACATTCAAGGGAAGATGGTGAAAGTCACAGTGAGACCCAGCCAGGGTCAGTATGGTTATCGCTCAGCTGCCCAGCACAGCTGGATAGAAGGAAGTAATGCTGCATCCAGGCAAAGATGAATCCTGTCCAAACAACCATCCTGATTTTCCCTCCTATCCTGTCTTCCTGTGGGCACTGCTGTTTTGTTCCCACTTCTCCAGGATGCTGGGTTCATTCCTGTATCTTTAGCATCATTAGAGGAAGCCAATGTGTTCTCTGCATCATCACTCCTAAGATCTCCACCTTCCTGCTTTTGCCTGAGCCATCCCACCTGCTGCATCCTGTGACTGTACCACTTTGGTAATTTCTTATTTAAAGATGACAGTAACTATAAAGTAACAGTGAGTTATAGTATGTCTACACTGAAAGGTTAAGATAAAGTGGGTCTTCTTTTCTTGTGTGAGACCTCCCTGAGGGCAGACATCCATAGTAGTACCAATTGTGGCATCATTGTCACAAAGCCTGATGTCTTGTCCAGAGAGGTTCATGGTTTCCCAACCTTAGCACCCACCATGCAGACACATGGAAGAGACCTGCACAGCATACAGGCTGACTCACCTCTCTGTGTGCAGAGAACCCCGACTTCCGAGAAATCCGCTCCTTCGTGGAGACGAAGGCTGACAGCATCATTAGACAGAAGCCCGAGGATCTCTTGAGGTATAATCAGAAAGGCCTGACCCGCGTCTACCCGAAGGGACAGAGGGTTGACTCTTCAAACTACGATCCTTTTCGCCTGTGGCTGTGTGGTTCCCAGATGGTGGCTCTCAATTTCCAGACCGCAGGTAAAGGAACCCTGAAGGTAGCTATGTGGGTACCAGTGACAGAGACTGACTGTCTCTTTTAGGAGGAATCACATTAGCTGCTGTAGCTGCAAGCCTGGGAGTTGATCTGTAGCTTCAGGCCCAGCTGGATCCAGGAAACAGTGACTATCTTGGGGCCTCTCTCCTTCCCATCCCTCTAATGGTTCATGCACAGATTCTCCTCCAGAAATACTTACGGGCTGGGGAAACCAACACATTCAAGGCTTAGAGATAAATCACAGTGTTCCATGCTTTTGTTGTATTTATTTAAGGCTTCCCCTACATTCTTTTTGTAGCCACATGCGATCCCACTGAGTGGACCATCATCTAATACCTGTAGGTCCTTTCCCATCATGGGCTCGGGCACACAGCACTGCCTCCTGGAGCTCGCACCTGCACATCTGGGACAGAGGTCTCAGAGGGCAGGGGGGTCACACGTTTGCGTTTCTATACACTGCCTGGCCAGACACTTGTCAAAGAGCACCATCTAGATATTGTGTGAGACACCAAGTGGGGGAAGGCTGAATAGACTTGGTGTAAGTTCACTCGGTGGTTTTATTGAGCCTTTCGATCTTTGCCCATCTCAGCGAACCTTTTAAAGCTTTCAATGATACAAATGGTCTGGTGTGGCATGTGTACCACAGGTTTACCACCACTGACCTATCTGCTAGGTGAGAACTGATATTAAACTCTAGTTTATATAGAGCTTCTTATTCTTATAAGCAACATTAACCCAGTTTTTGCTTATTTAGGGAAAATACATTTTACATTTCTGTAAAATGTTCATGCATCTTACCCAACTTATCATAGCTTTTAAGAGGTTAAAAATATATGTGTACACATCCACCTGTCATTTAAAAGGATTTACATTATATGCAGTTTTCTCGATGTAAATATTTTAATTAGTTAAGGTAGTCAGTGTAGTTGTTTAGGTTTAGTTGGTTGGTTTGGTTGGCTTAGGACATTGAGTTAGTTCTTTTTGTGAAACTAAGGGGTTAAACTCAGGGTTCACACTAAGCTACATCCCAAGACCTTTTTGAGTTTTGAGAAAAAAGGTCTTGCTGAATTTCCCAGGCTGGACTTGAACTTGTCATTCTCCTTCCTCAGCTTCTCAGAGTGCAGGGGCTATATAGGTCTGTGCCACCACCCCAACTGGTTTTAATCTTTTATGGTTATAGATTTTGCATACTTGGGAAGGCTTCCCCGGTTTGAGATTCTTTATTCCAAACTCTATCCTGTTTTCTTTGGGTCAGACACCTACTTGCCCAGCTACCCCAAATGATCACAGAAGTCCACGTACCCCATCCCACACCCCTTGGCATCCTTGAGTCAGTCTCACAGACCTCACTCCCCTTCCAGACAAGTACATGCAGATGAATCATGCATTGTTTTCACTCAATGGGCGGACGGGCTATGTCCTGCAACCGGAGATTATGCGGACAGGGAAGTATGACCCGATGCCACCAGAGTCACAGCGGAAGATCCAGATGACTCTCACCATCAAGGTAGAGGTGGACATGCTCCCTGGGGCTGGGCCACGTGCTGCCTTAGGCACAACCCTTGTAAACTGTCAACATCCTAACAGTGTCTTGAGACCTTTAGTCCACTACCTGTATGTCATTCTAGGGGCAGGGAAAGTTTTCCATTTGTGTCTTTGGGGTCCCTGAAAGATCAGCCTCAGGCCAGGAAGATGAAAAAAGAAAACAGAAATGCCTCTGGGGTTTTAATGGAGGAGAGGCTGTCTGCTCTTAGGCCAGTTTTGTTGGTCAAAGCTTCTTGAAATTACTCCAGCATTAAGAGAATGTATTGCTTCTTTGTAAGAGTAGAGAAATGAATTGCATTTCTCATGAGATTAAGGAAGAAAAAGGGGAGCATGTGTAAGAAAAGGCCTTTCTTGAATAAAGACAGTCACAAAAAGAATGGTCACATTCTGCCCCTTCCTGGTTCTGAGAGATCCAGGAATTTGGTGTGATGTCCCAGCACGTGCTACCTGGGAATGGGTGTGTAGACTCAGGTGCTCAGGTGAGACCTCCCTGTTGAGTCAGATAGCACAGGGATCAGAGCTCTGGGACCTCACCAAGACTGCATCCCATTTCCTCATCTGACAGAGGGAAACTGCAAGGGTGGATCCCTCAGACCCCACAGCATAGGTTACCTCCCTGTGCAGGACATGAGGCTGGCTTTGATTTCCTACAGTCTGACGCCTGCAGCCTTGCTTAACCTTCCCTGCCCTAGGTCCTTGGTGCTCGCCACCTACCCAAGCCTGGACGAAGTATTGCTTGTCCCTTTGTAGAGGTGGAAATCTGTGGGGCAGAGTATGACAACAATAAATTCAAGACAACAGTCGTGAGTAAGTAGCCTCAGCTCTTTCTTCTAAACACTGAGTGGGTTGAATCTCATGTGGGTTGCTATCTTTGGAGGTTTTGTAATGCATTTTTGTCACCTAGCCTTTTTCATTCACCTGTCTTGTCCACTGCGATTCAGCTCGGAGATGGGAGACAAAGGGCCACCTCATAAGATCACCAGAGTTGTGCCCTGTGCTATCCCTCAAGTGAGGAGCCCGAGGCAAGAGTTTTGCTCCCTGCACATGGCACTGATGTGCTTGTCTCCGAGGCACAGCCCAGACTTGATGCAGCTGCTGAGCTGAAGGCTGAGAAGCAGACAGAGTAGGGGTACATGGTCCAACGGACTCAGAAGATCCAGCTGCATGGGTTGGCCTCGGCCCCCAGAGGCAGGATAAAGAAGCCCCTGCTCCTCCAGATGAGCAGAAAGGGTCCATGAACCATGGGCCTGTTAGGGCACAGAATGACTGCTCCTGGTCAGAGGCAGCTCAGGGAATAGCTAGGACATTGACCTGTGCATATTTCTGGAGGTGGCAGGTTTTCTGTGTGTTTCCCTCCATGAGGCTGGGTCCCCTGACAACTCCAGAACAAGTTCTTCAGCCGAGGCTGGGGGCTACCAGGCACTTTGCACTGATCTCTTCCACACCCCAAAACTCTTGCTCTTCCTTCTCTTCTCCCATCCCAGTATGGGAGATGGGGGTACACACAAGATGAGGGCACCCATTCCTCTGCTCCCTGTGGGCCAGGCCTGCAATGGCAGCTTTCACAGGATTTCTTACGGCTAAGGAAAAGATAAACACTCAGATGTTCTTGGACCTTGGAATAGATGCTTATTTTTTGACATGGTTGCTAAAGGCCTCAAAGCTCAAGGACGGTGAGACCAGCTTGCGGGGAGGGAACAGGAGCAATGCAGCCACTCCTGAGCTTCAGTCTCTTTGCAGATGACAATGGTCTCAGCCCTGTTTGGGCTTCAACACAGGAGAAGGTGACATTTGAAATTTATGACCCAAACCTCGCATTTCTACGCTTTGTGGTTTATGAGGAAGACATATTCAGTGATCCCAACTTCCTTGCTCACGCCACTTACCCCATTAAAGGGATCAAATCAGGTAAGACATATTTTAATTAAGATGTTTGCTTTGGGCAAGCACCACTCTATGTTCTGTATTGCTGGCTTTAAAAAGAACACAAAAGCATTTTCTTTGTTTTGACTAAATCATAACAAAACCAACAGGATGGGTGGGAGAACGGGGGCTTGAACAGCACACAGCACATTCAGCACACAGATGGGAAGGGGGGAACTGCTGTGCCCTTTGAAGTTGGACGTCTGTGTACAAACTGGAGTGTTAAGTCAACTGTCCCCTTGGCACTGTTTGATTTTGCCCCTTCCTGGCCAGGGCTAAGTCTGGCTTGATCTCCCTTTCTCTTCCACACAGGCATTGTGATAAGGTGAAGTTTTACCATCTAGTGGGAGCTGGTCTTGAGTTCAACTCTAAGCCTCAAATTCTCTCTCCTCTCCCAAACAATTTGGAGGGTTGATTTACCACTTTGAGTTATGATTCTCTTTTATGCTGAGCAGAACTGCATCACAGTTGGAGAAGGGCTGTTTTGTGTTTCTTGGGACCAAGCCCCAGTGGGTGATGTGACCAGCTTGCGAGAACCTGGACCCTGTGGCTCACCTGTGAGATCCAGGTTCCCAGGCTTTCACACAGCTGAGTAGCAACCTCACATGAGCAGCTTGGTGGCCCAGCAGCCCCGTGCTGCCTCCAGGAGCAGGCACCTATCAGGGTGTCACTGTGAAGGCAGTGGTCCATCGGAACTGTGTGGTTTCTCTAACTTCCTTTCCCACTGGATTGACATCTGGCAGTCAGGCCCTACCTGATGTTTCCATCTTCCTTCTCCTTGGTATTTCAGATGCGTGGGACGTCAGGTCATAGATGCTTCTAGATTCCTCAGGGGGTCACTGTTCCCTTGTTTCCCAAGAATCAATTTTCAACAGAAAGACATTACTGTTATTTTAGTCATGTGGATATTAATGTTGTTTGGAACCTTAGGCTCCATGCAGAGCTGAACTGGGTCTCTCTCTTGACCCTGTTCTCCCTCCCTCCCCTGCTTCCTGCTGACTTAGAACATACTACACATTCTCTGAAATTCTCAATGTCTTGGCATCATATATCTGACTGTTTCTCCCATGGGACACTAGCCCAGCTTGTGAGAAGTAGACACGAAGGGAAGTCCAGATAGAAAATTCAGGGCCCTGGGCTTACCATGAGGTGCCCTGATTCAGCCCAGCACAGTACCCAGGAATCTGTATGACTGGCCAGCTCCTGAGGTGGGCCTCGGGTGGCACTGAGAGAAGCAGGCTGGAAGCAGACTGCCCCCTCTTACCATTGAGGAAGGAATTTCAGAAAATGTTTTAAACCTTCTGATTTCTTTACAGCACTTTAGAAATACCCATGTTTGCCATTTAATACTAATGAGCATTCAGTTATAGGTCCCAGAGGCCTGCTACTTGGCAACCCTTGCTGGTTACATTGCCGACACTGCAACTACTTTAAACTCAGCAATGAAGCAGCCTTCTCTAATCTGCCATATGCTTCTTTTAGATTTGCCTAATAAGTAAGTCTCAGGAATGACACTGCCTTGTCCATGGCA